AGTCATGGAGGTCAAAGTCCGCTAAGGAGTGGGAAACAACTCATCTGTCGAAGACAATCAGCCTCGAGAGTGGCTGGCTCTGAAGCGTGCGGCCTGTGCTCGGCACTCGTGGTGGCTCCGAAGTTGTAGCAAGAGGAAGGGTGTTGGGCCTACCGCAACGCCAACAGCTTGTGCCAGCAGCTTGTGCCCAGGTGAAGCGGGTCCCAGTGTAGATCTCAGCGGTAGCTGCAAATGTTCAAATGGGACTTCTGAAGGCCGGCACGGGAAAGGTTCCAAGGAACAACCTGCTGCAGCCAGCATTGCTACGGGCCTCTCGGCAATGCCCTAGGCCGCCCTCAAAGGCCGATGTGGAGGCGGTTCCATGGGATCAGCTGCTGCAGTTAATATGGTTGCTGGCCTCCCGACAGTGCCCTTGGCCACCTGTGCCCAGGCGCAATCCATTTCTCGGGTCACAACGGGCATACTCACACTCAAACCTCTCGCAACAGATGGTGGGGAGCCGACGGTGCCCCACATTGGCTGGCCCTGCCACTCAGCCTTTTCTCCCGCGTCATGGACCAACCCGAGGGACGCGCACCTAAAGTCCTCGACTGCCGTAAGGGTCACTCGTGTCCGACATACTAGTAGCCAAGTCAAACCTATGGGCTCAACATCGGTTTCAGTGCCAGTCGCCGAGTCAAAACAGCCATAAAATTAAAACTAGAAATAACTAAATATAAAAATAAATATAAGTGTCAGGAACACAAGAAAAATTAACGGACGAGGGCCCACGCGCCCCGCTGGCCTTTGCCTTCGCGCACACCCTGGCCACTCAGGGTTGCACCCCCCCGTCGATGTACCCCGAGTGTTGCTCATCCGGGTGGGACTCAACCCTTATTCGCAAGTGCGTCGTCAACTCCGGACGAGGCCGTACCGGCGTGACTTGCGAGAAGCACTCCAAATACCCTTGTAAGGGTATTTGGTACGACAACGTTTCCATGGTTCTACCAGATACTGCAACCATCCGATTATATTACCGGCGGACGTCAACGGTGTCTGGTTTAGGAAAGTTTATCATGGGGTTGGTCTGAATAAACTTTGGCAACGCCAACCTCGTCAAATCTCCCAATCCAACAAAAAGGGTTGGACAGTGTCCAACACTGGCACGAATCTCTCAGTTCAACAAAAAGGTCGGACAACATCCGGCCTAAGAAAGCTCGAGCATTTCTGCTTCGACAGTGCCCCACCGGAACCTATCTCGTCGTAGGGGACAGCGGGAAGTACAGCAGCCGCACCCGGCTAGAGCGGTGAAGGGACGACGAGAAACCACGCGTGTCTCGACGGTTCACGAGATTATTTGCGTCGTCCCCAAATTGTCTTTCATTTTGTTTTGTTTAACTCATACGTGACATAGTCGGGAGGGCTCCCACCCTTTGCAAAAAAAAATGGGAGCTGATGCGCTCGACGACGTACATTATCCCAAAACATAATGATGTAACAAGATGACGACCCATTTGCCTCACTTTTTCTTAATGCAGTATTATGACTATCAAGCAGATAGCTAAGACTATCAATGAGGTTGTGGCATGACTTACCAAAAGAGATTAATTTCAATTTGAAAAGTATACTGATCCGACACCAACCTTGAAGAAGTTAAATAAAAATTTAGCGAAGGGGGAACGGTTTGTTAATGCGGTTTTCAACATTAAGGAAATGTGATGCAATCTTGCAGTTGTGAATTTTTGGGCTATCAGAGGTTGCTCCGATGTGCTGATTAAAATTAGAAGCAAAAGGGCTAAGTTGAGCTTCAGAGGTGCACAAATTGGTTGGAATGTTGTCTCTTTAAGTATAATAATGAACTTTGTGCAATTTGAGTTGGGTTGCATTTTTTTCAAGGTGTATGGGTAGGTTTGCAAAAAAGGGTTGGTATCCCTATGGATAAAGCATCTAGTCCAACTTTGGCTTGTTTGCTATGTGCGTACAATGAGTTCACTTTCCTATCTTTGTTAGGAAGTGATAGGCAGTTGGTTAGTGAAATTCGTATGGTGCATGATGTGTTGATACTTATTCAGTATAGTTTGGGTGATGCTTCGTCAGTTGCGACAACTGGTGCCATCTTGGAGAAGTTCAGAAACTATTATGACAATATTCTGGTGTTGGAACAAACAAGCAATAGTGACTGTTGGGATCTTCTGGGTTGTGTGTATGTAGGTGATGGACTGAGCATGGGATCTACAAAGTGGGGCTTTACACAAAAACCAAAGAAGTTATAAGGAGGCGAACTTGCGTTTTCAGAATCTATAGGACTTTAATTCTTATTGTAGCAGGCATCAAAATATGGTCGTCATTGAATCTTGTTTGCATAGGGCTAGGTCATACACTACTCTTGTGGGATTGATGTGACTTTCCTTTTCTAGGTCAAGGTTTAACTAAAAAAACGAAACTTTTCGGATGAATTTTTCGATAGTGTATTCTACAATTTCTCTGTAAAATTTGTCGGTATTTGGAACTAGTGGGTCAATGTGTTGGCGAGATGGGACAAGTTGTTTATAAGTGATAGGATGGGGTCTTATCGAAAAAGAAAGGCGAGGGGGCCGTGGAAAGGGGAAGACTTGTAGAAAGGAGGAGGCAAAGAGCGATAATGTTGCTTCTGGATCCTGGTGGGAAAGTGGCTGTCCCGCCTGTTTTTGTCTTTGTTTCTGTTTTTTTTCTTTTCAAAATAATTTTCTTGAAAATAGTGGGGTCTTTTTTTGGGCAGGACGAACGGACAAATGACCGCTTGGGAAGTGGTCGTCTCTTGGCTATTGGGACTTGGTCTGGATGGCGGTTTCTTTGGTCGACGTGAAAGTTACTACAGGTGGCAGGGCCTGACATGTCCTCCACCGAGCATTGTCCCCGTGATCTGGATTTGTGTGCCTATTCTTTTCTGATTCCCGTGAGAAGTTTCTGGAAGTTTCTTAAGGGTCGTGTGGATGTGGTCATCTTTTGGCTCTTGCAACTTTGTTTGGACGGCCGTTTCTCCGGCCTTCGTGAAAATGTCATGGTCTTGAGGGTAGTAAGGTCTATTTTTGGAAGCAGTCTTTAAATGTCTCTTAGACTTTGGCTTGTCGTTTTTTTTTTTTTTTTTTTTTTCCCTTTTTTTCCCTTTTTTTCCCTTGTTGACTATCTGGCAGCCTTCGCGGTGACTTTGCTCTCTGGCTGTTAGTACTTATTATGGAAACTCTAATCATTTAGTCCCTTTCCTAAGCGACGTACAAGGCCCCTAATGATTCCGGTTGGCGGCCGGATGAAACACAACGTAGGGTCGCTGCGCCTGTGAATTCATGTTTATTTTTCGAGTACTTGACGAATTTGCCTTGCAATATTATTCGGCCGAATGGTCGTGTTTCGGGAAAATCAATCGATTGTTTCTTTGACTTTTCCTCTCCTATCTCTTCTCCTTACCCCCTATTTCTGCCCCTGTTCTTCCATGTCTGTTTGGTTGCAACTTCATTGATTGCCTGTATGATTGAACTTGTGTCTAAACCAACACTCATGGAGTTTTCCATCCCCCATCAAATAGTAGCAGTGTCTGAGGCCAAGGGTCTCCCAGACACCACACGCAACCCAATCACATTCACACTCACACCTTTTGTGTTGGCCAAAGAGCCTACTACCGATAATATCAACCAGAGATATCGAACAAACTGTCACAGGTGCTTGGCTACTAAGGGCCTAGTTGCACTACTCGCCATCCGAGAGTGAAAAAAATGAGAATCATGTCGAACTGGAGGCCTGGTTGCAGTTACTCGCCACTATATTCCTTCTACAAAAAAGTTCAAATAGTTTGTCTACCTGATCTCCACTCGTGAAGCCGTGCACTCTCCAGAAAGCTGTTTTGTGGAGAGGTTTGAGGACCACCCTCCACAAACCGCCATGCACAGGTGGGGAAACTGAAAACACTCGCCATCTTGTGTCGACGGTGTAGCGAGCAGTCTGACATATTTTTCATTCGCCAAGTTCGGTGAGTAAGTGCAACCAGACGCCTACTCGCCAAACTTGGATCGTGGAGAAAAGTGCAACCAGGCCCTAATACTGCTCAGAGGTATCAAGCAAGCAGACTGTCACAACTTGTGGTCCTCCACAAACCGCCATGCACAGGTGGGGAAAATGAAAACACTCGCCAACTTGTGTTGACGGTGTGGCGAGCAGTCTATATATATTTTTTATAAAAGCTGCCTTCTCCTCGTCGGGGGACAGCCATATATTTTTCTTTTAACTGGCGTTCTGCCATGTCATGGAACATTTCTTTCTTTTCACGACCAACCACTACTCCTAAGGCTATACAGGGGACCCCTGCACGCATAGCTCTCTACCTCTCTTCGGTGAAGGGAGGTTACCTCTCTCGGTCGTTGGAGAGGGGTAAGGCATGTTTGCCCCTTTGCCCTAGTGATTTAGGGTGCAGGGTTGGGGGGGCCGATGGGGCCCCGGCTAACACAAGGACCGAGCATTTTGCCGGTAACTGTGCCTCACTATTCATCTTCCTGCCGGTAACTGTGCCTCACTATTCATCTTCCCCCACCCCCATCGAGTAACAGTAGTGTCTAAAGCCAACACTCTCCCACACACCACACTCAACCCACTCACAGACGCACTCACACCCCTGTTGGCTGAAGACCTTAGCTGAAGACCATACTGATACCGACTGGGAGGATCCAGCTGACTATCTCAGTTGGTTGGCACCAAGAGTAATACAGGCGACCATGGGGATTGAACCCACAACCTCCTGAATGCCACTTGCGTGCCTAACCATTTGAGCTAGGCCGCTGGATGGTCTGACATATTTTTCATTCGCCAAGTTCGGCGGGTAGGCGTCTGGTTGGCGTCTGGTGAGTAAGCGCCTACTCGCCAAACTTGGATCGGGGAGAAAAGTGCAACCAGGCCCTAATACCGCTCAGTGGTATCAAGCAATCAGACTATCACAGTCTGGCCCCTACAAGACTATCATCGCCGCTTTGGTATACGACAGGCGGTAATTGGGGCGTGAACCGACAACCTCGGGAATGCCACTTGTGTTTCTAACCAACTGAGCTAGGCGTTGGATCGTGCCCGAGATGGGACGGATATACATTTACGGAGAAAAAAAGGGAGAGAAGAAGAGAAAAGCAAGACAAGTTTTGTCATTTCGTTTGGCACAGACTGCTCTCCTCCGATTCGCCGATCTTCAAACGGGCCATTTCCGCCAATTCCGTTTGTCATCCTTGCTGGGGTATGCTATTCTTCTCGGTATCGTTCCGATTCTAATGGATGTCCCGAAATGCCGCTAGCAACCGGCATGTTGGATCAAGACGGCGCTTATCCGGGTTATCCCCACTCGGGGTGAAAACCCGAAGTGGCTGAAGCGGAGGCGGTGAGAGCGGAGATCGTCGTCGTTATCGGGTGAACATGGCGCCAGTCTCCCCCATAGAGACACCGGGAGCGAGGGACCCAGTCGACCCGGACCGCGAAGAGATGTCGCTCTCTGGACTTGCAATGAAAGCTCACGAGCTCTTCAAAGCATACAGATATGATGAATGTCTAGCTGTGCTTGAAGATCTACGGAAGAAGAGAGAAGGCGATCCGAAGGTATGGTCTGCACACAGACCACTTTCATTTATTACGGGTTGAGCGGCTCTGCACTCTGTGTACGTCGTGGGTCTCCCCTCCTCCGTCGTGCTCTGCCTCCCGCATAGATCTCGTCTCCTTTCACAGTACATTTCTCCTCTGTCTTGCCGATTGATCACCCACCTTATATACAGTATTTCTTCGGAAGACATAGGTGCTTCAATCGCATCCCGTATTGTGGAGTTCACTGGGGGAGGCTCCTCTGTACATGCGAACGGCATGGAAACGAAATTCCTCCGACCTGTCCCTTTCTGTCGTCAAACGTCCGCGCGCTGTGTTCAATCGCATGCCGTATTGTGGAGTCGACGGTAACGACATAGGTGCTTCAATCGCATGCCGTATTATGGAGTCGACGGTAACGAGGAAGTGTAACCCGGGCGCGCGCTGTGTTCCACGTTCTACTCATTGATTGTACCTGACATTATACTTGCCTTCCATGCATCAGTGCCTCGGACGTGTTCGACTTCCTGTTCGGGAACGCTGGGATGGTGCCGGCAATTGGAATTCTCGGGGTTTGCATTGACGCATGAAATACAGTGTCCCCCCCCCCTTGCGACCGCATTTTTATCATCTTCGTAGGCATGGTTTAATGGTCTCGCAAGGACAGGGAAAGAAAGGGATATGTGTCGCTATATTTCGAGGAGGAAAGTGATTGTCGGGTTCTTGTAATGCCGTTTTTTCCTGCTTTTTTAGTGGTGATGTGCGCGTTCGCGTGTGACCTACATGGCAAACACATCCTGACATGCTCCTTTTCTGCGGTTATTTGCAGGTCATCCACAACAGTGCAATTACCGAGTATTACCGTGATGGGGAGGTTGATCCGAAAAAACTTCTTGGCGTTTTGTCGACGGTTCAGGTGAGTTATGGTGACGGTAAATTGGCGGACCTTCTGATGGCTCTGGCTCCTCCTGCTCCTCCTCCGCCTGCTTGCCTCCCTCGTATCGATGCCACTGCCAGCTCTCCCACTCTACACGCGTCCTCTGCACGTCGTTGTGGCCCTCGAGCAGATCCCGCACCTCCCCCGTCCCCTCCTAAACTATGATCTACCTCCCTTTCGTCCTGGCTTAATCTCTGCCGTCTCTGCTCGTCTTACCAAGCCATCACCTTGCCGTCTCTGAGCACATACTCTCTCCCCCATCCTACAGTCTTCTCCCGAATACAACGTACGGTCATTATAGTTGAATTTGGGGTATATTTCAGTCCAAATACAGCTATAATGACCGTACTTTGTATTCGGAGGAAGACGGTAGTGATTCGTGAGCTGCCACCCTCTGCTCCTGTCTGTCCTGCACAACGATGCGGTTTTTGTCCTAACAATTGGACACCCTTTCCTCCTGGTTCGTCCCTTGCCTATCTACGGCGTTTTAGTTGATTGATTAGTAGTCACTTCATCGATCAGGCGAGTGGTTGATCGGGTTATTGACCTATTGATCGATCGATCGATCGATTAACTGACCTGATTGGCGAATTCGCGGGCGATCGATGTATGGATCGGTTGATGATCGGTTGACGCGTCCGGCTGTGAACCAATCGTTTAATCAATTGGTAGATCGATAGTGTTCTCAATTGGTTGGTCGATATATATCCGGAGAATCCTCACTTTCCTCGATCTTTTTGGGCAGATGTTTTATGCATCTCAGATTTAAAGATTGAGCGCAGTGGGTTGCAGGCTTTGCCCGGATAAGCTGCTGATATCCAGCCCGCGCCGCGCTAACGGACTTGGCGCCTCATTGGTCCTCATGGGGACGGCGATGAGGGCCGCGCCCGCTATGGCGGGTTAGCGGTGAAGGTTGGGGGATCGTTGTTGTTGTTGGTCGGTCGATTGGTTGGTCGATATCCGGAGAATCCTCACTTTCCTCGATCTTCTTTGGCTGATTTTTTACGCATCTCAGAGTTAAAGAATGAGCGTAGTGGGTTGGAGCTTTTAATCAATTGGGCGGAGCAGCGGTGAAGTGTTGTTGGTGGATCGTAGTTGTTGGTGCTCCTCACGAGGAAAGAAGAGCTTGCCGTGGGTTTGTTGTCGATGGACGTTCGTTTCGAGGTGGTGATAGAGGCTGCGTCGGGGCGGATGCGCGGTGAGGATGTGTCGACAAGATGAATGGCGGGGAGAGGAATGACTGGCGCGCTGGTAACCGCAGTGTCTAACGTTATCTCGCGAATAGAACGTACGGTCATTATAGCCGTATTTGGCTCAGCTTTCAGTCCAGATGCAGCGAAAATGACCGTACGGTCTATGCGGCGGAAGAAGGTAGCGGTTGTACGTCGTCGGGAGTATGCTGCGCGTTTCCTTAGGATAGTAAGGCGACGAGTTGATTGAGGGCTAGGCGACATCTGGTAAAAGTGGCCGTAGGGGTTTTACGGCAGATTCATAATGAATGGGCCGATACCCCTTCGAGTGAGTGCTTCCTCCCATTACAGGAGGACCGACAACACGGAGAAGAACGGGATTGGCAAAGACCTGTAGGGTTTTTTCCACGGTTGGATTTCCAGTTATATCGTCCGAAGGAAGATCGTCAATCCCCCGTGCTAGACGCTCACCAACGGATGGAAGTGGATTCAAGGACAACTGGTGAGAGAGAGAGAGAGAGAGAGAGAGAGAGAGAGAGAGAGAGAGAGAGAGAGAGAGAGAGAGAGAGAGAGAGAGAGAGACAGACAGAGAGGGTGAAGAAGGCATCGAGATTGTGCATCGCTGCTCTAATGAAAGTCGTAGTTGGACGCGGGAAGAAAACGTTCTATCCCGAAGCAACCTTTGCCTTTGCCTTTGCCTTCGACGTCGCCAGCATTTCCTTTGTGTCGCCGAGAAAGGGTGTAGAGAGGCCACTTCAAAGAGTAAAGAAATACCAGCAGGCCTAGTAAGCTCGGTTGATACATCCATGAACTGATTGAAATAGAGACCCAATTCGAATCCATATACAATCAGATGAACAGAATAAATGCAAAAAAAGAAAAAAGAAAAAAATGAGTAAAGAATAGGGAGATGACGGAAGGCGAACCAGCACGAGAGAGGGAGGGGGGGAGAGAGAGAGAGAGAGAGAGAGAGAGAGAGAGAGAGAGAGAGCTCGTGCTATGGAACGGCTGTTCTCCTCCCTGCGATGGTAGTATGGATATGGATCCCTCCTATTGAGTGTGTATGATAAGACTGTTGCATGGGGTTTCCCTGTTATACGATACCCTAGTGCAACGTCAATCATTCCATCTCATCAGACTGGAGGTGTGTGCACTGGCCAGTTTACGCGGTTTGAGCAGATTTGTGACAATTGGCATGATTTTAAAACGGCAGCAGCTTTGCTTGCCCGCCGTTTGCTTTCCCGTGGCCATGTTCCATCAACACTGGCTCGAGGATGGACTTGTTATATTCGTGCTCGCCAGCGTCGGCAGCCTACACATGTGACGAGACTTACACAATGGTTTCGTCGCATGCTTCGTTGGTCCATGTATCATCCTCTTCCACCCTCTCCTCCCCTTGCTACCCCTTCTCCCCCTCCCCCTCCCCCTCCTCCCCCTTCCTCTGTTCCATCTGCTCGTCCTTCTCCTCCCTCTACCCCTTCCCCTCCTCCTCCTCCTCTTCCTTCCTCTCCTCCTCCTCCTCCTTCCCCTCGCCCTCGCCCTCTCCCTCCCCTTCTCCCTCTCCCTCTCCCTTCCTCTCCCTCGCCCTCCTCTTCTTCCCCTCCCTCTTCTTCTTCTTCCTCCTCTTCTTCTTCTTCTTCTTCTTCTTCTTCTTCTTCTTTGTCTTATCAACACCGTCGACTGAGATCAGCCCTTCCCTTATCTTCGTTGTCTATATATTAGGACGGTGTCAGGCTCGTTCATTCTCCCCACCTCCTGGTCCCTCTTCCTCTCGGTGTCGTATTGATCCTAAACTGCCTGGTTCATTGTCTGGCCGACAACCTGCTTTGGTACGTCGACGGCGTTCTTCAATTAAACGCCGACCACACCAAATTAGACCGGGCCTGCCAGTGGTGACCGAGTCGGATTTGCGAGCAGATCTACCAAACATTTGTGGCCTGACAGCCATGAATGTTTGTCTGCAAGCTTATCAGCGTCAAGGTTATACTGTATCTCAATTTCTCACAATTGCTTATCAGCTTGACGCTGTTGAAAATGAGTTGTTGTATGACCGTAATGGTCTACCTCCTGAGGATAGTAATTATACTACCTCAGGAGGCTTTACTATAAATGTCTTACAGTCAGCATTTCACGGTCGCCACCTTCTCATGCATTATGGGACGCCAGGCGAGGACCTTAATGCCCATCCTCATATTTCTGCATGCATTTTGCACAAACCCGGGCACTATATGGCACTCATTCGTGCAGCTGCCCAGTGGGAAACTATGGGACGGTGGGACGGTGATTCAGGTTATTGTCAACATAAATGAATTCTTGCGAGGTTTGTCGAATCATACATTGTTCTGGATTGTTGAGCGTCTCTCGTGCGACATTTGTCGGGATAGAGACTTGCGTCTTGGTTGTGGAATGCATTATCTGTGTCAGCACCATTATCAATCCATCGCGACTGCCGCCGTATGTGCGGAAGGGTGTCTAACATTTCCTCATTGTGCACATCCCTATCATCCAGATGTACGTTGTCCTGTCTGTTCCCAAGGACGCTATCAGAACTGCATGATGCCGCACTGTGACGAACGTCCTGCTGTTTTCTTGACATGTGGGCAACATGTCCTCTGTCGGGATTGTTTCGATGGGATGGTTCGTGCTAGCCGTCCGGCTGAATGCTGTACTAGCGCAACTCTCCTTGGGTATCCCTGTGAACATCCCCGTCATCCTCACCGTAGTTGTCCTATCTGCCGAGGGGGTGACAGATGAAGTGTAGAAGAAACAGATAAAAAAAGAAACCGAGTAAAAAGATAAAAAATACATAAATAAGAAAAGAAACCAAGGAAAAACACAAAAAAAGAAACCTGAGAAAAAAGGAAAAAGAAGAAAAGAAAAATATGTTCTGTGGGATGGTAATTGGATTATCTGTGGGATGTGTCACTTGCTTCGTCTGTTTAACAGGCTTTCTTGTTCTGTGAGGTTTGGTTTCCTCCGTCTTTTCTTTACCTCTGTGCCTTTTGGCTGCGTGCAAGTGGGTCTTTGTGACACACGGGGATGGGGGCAGCCAGCGCTCAACCTGTCATTTACGTGGCTGGCCTTGTACGTAAGAGGTGACGAACAGGTGAGGCTTTCCTTCCTTACTTCTTTTTCTTTTTCTTGTTTTATCTTTTTTCGCCTTTGCGCTCCGATTTCTAATGTGACAATATATATATCGTCACAGAGGACTGTTTTGATGGGATGGTTCGTGCTAGCCGTCCTGCTGAATGCTGTGCTGGCGCAGCTCTCCTTGGGCATCCTTGTGAACATCCACATCATTCTCACCGTAGCTGTCCTATCTATCGAGGTGGGGACAGGTAAAGAAAAAAAGAAGAAAAGAAAAAGAGAAAAAAAGGAAAAGAGAGAAAATAAGAAATAAAGAAAAAAAGAAAAAAGAAAAGATATGTTGATCTGTGGGATGTGTTATTTGCTTTGTGACAATTGGATTATCTTTCTTTCCCTGTCAGGTTTGGTTTCCTCCTCCTTTTCTTTGCCTCTTTGCCTTTTGGCTGCGTGCAAGTGGGTCCTTGTGACACACGGGAATGGGGGCAGCCAGCGCTCAACCTGTCATCCACGTGGCTGAGGTGATGAACAGGTGGGGCGTTCCTTCCTTCCTTCTTTTCGTTTCCTTGTTTTGCTTTTTTCCGCCTTCGCGCTCTGATTTACAGTGTGACAATATATATCGTCACACCGTGTAGCGGAGCGCAAAGGCGAAAAAAGACAAAACAAAAAGGGAAGAAGTAAGGAAGGAAAGCTCCTACTGTTCAT